AGATGACCACTCCACCCGCCTCCTCCCTCCTCAAAACAGGGCTGTGGGGGAAACAATCAGTGCAACATAATTATGGAATAATTACAGGCTGTTAATCAGCAAGAAGGAAAATATTGGCAGTAGAAGGAATTATAGGCAATTAAACTGATTGGACGGGTAATTTGAAAAGGATTATTTGGATATTGAAGAATGAGAGTGTGGCATAGCTGAAGGCGCTTACACCCGTCTTACAGACACTGCCCTCCAAACACACCAGAGTGGGTGTAAAGAGGTTCCAGAAGACACAGAGACATAAATGCATGGCCTCGTATCCCAGGTCTGACTCGCCTGACTTTATGTTATTTGATTACTGGCTTGTTACTGCTTGGAGTTTGATGGGGAGTCAGCGTTGAGCTCTCCTTAAAGCTGATGCGAAAGCTCTTTGTCTGGGTTAAAGTCTGATGCTTATCCTGCTGAGCTAACTGGAGTTGTCAGTGTCAACTTCCTATTTATAGAACAGGCTTCTTCACAAAGAATCAAAGACAATGCGACATGATTTCTGATGCACCGATAGTGGGTACAAATTTACTGAGCGGCGATGCAGATCTAGATTGTGGCATCTAAGAGAAAAATGGTCCCTCGGGCACCTGGTTAGATGGATGAATGTTATTTCATGCTGAGGACTGACAGCGGATGTGTTTTCAGTCGTCGTGGATGAATGTTGGTTGAATGAAGCACAGTTCGGACCGTTCTGGCTTTTTTTTAGGATACTAAAAAGCGTAGCTGCAGTCACATTTAGCTGCTCACTTAAGATCTTGTTGGAAAATATTAGCCAAAGAAGAAGGAAACAGTTTACTTCTTTTATTTCAAATGAGGCACTAGTGATTTCACAGTGTATGGTGAATACTTGAAAGGATCGGTTGTAGTAAGGAACTAGATATAGTCAGCTGTACACATAAATATGCATTCTTAGGTGTTTAGTTTGTGGAGTTAAGGAGGTAAAGCAGGAACTGATTGGAAGGTTGGTGGTTCGATCCTAAATATCCTTGGGCATGATACTGAACCCCAAGTTGCTCACAGCTGCAGTCGTCAGTGTTTCAGTGTTTGATAGAAAGCACAGAGCACAGTTTGTGGAAGCCACCATGTTCTCCTAATTACAGTGGCTGAAATGGACATTGCCTGACCACGTGTAGTCCACTAATGATGGAGAAGAACTCATGGGCATTCACATGCCGCAAGCTTTGCTTATGTTTTTGATTCATTGTGTTTTTAGTTAGTCTACCATTCTAGCAAGACAAGCTTTTTTCTGCATTTAGCAGTAGTTTGTTATTAAATCAGTTCAATCCAAATTTTAACTTGATTTGAATTTTAATTCATGTGTACAACTTCAGACTTAAATACGAATGATCATACCTATGTTTAATCATCTGAGAAGAGGTCTCCCACAGCAAAGAAGTGAAAACGTGAAGGAAAGAGTTAACGTGACTGCCACTTCATAAACAGGCTTATTTATTCCCGATATTGTCACAATTACTTACTCTCAGCTTATTAGATATTAGCTAATGTTAGGAGGGTAAGAAAACAGAAATCAATTGCCTGTAATCTGCAGTCTACTGACACCTAGTGGTGAGATTTTACACACTGTGCCTTTAAAGGGGCCTAAACTGGAGCCTTG